ATTTCATTGACTCTCGCACTACACACTGTTGCACATCACCCCGGACTACATATCCCATCATTCATTGCACTGATTGCACTCAGCACGGATTGCACACAGCTGGTAACACTGATTGCACCCAGCTGTTTCATATCACTCCCTCACTATTTAACACTCACTCAGCTGTTTCATATCCCTTCCCTCTGCCGAGTATAGTTTAGCGCCTATCTTTTGATAGCTACTCTACCGAGCCCTCGTTTCCCTGCCTTAGCCTTAGCCTTAGCCTTAGCCTTAGCCTTAGCCTTAGCCTTAGCCTTAGCCTTAGCCGTTTTCTCGGTTCCTGATCTTCGCCTGGTTTCCTGGATTTCTCCCTTTAGTCTTCTCCCTTCTGATTCTGTTTGCCGTTTATCGACCTACGCTAGCCCTAGGACTATTCTTGTGTCTTGCCCGCCATATACCTGGTTGCCACTGCTTGACCCTGCCTGTGTTTCTGACCTCTCTGCTCAATAAAGCTTTGCATATGGATCCGCACATCTCACGTCTCGTCAGCCCCGTAACAGCATCATATGACCCTTTTAAAAGATATTTTGCTTTTGCAAGGATGGGAGCATTCTAGAAGCTTCTGTAACTTTCTGTAATATTCTAGTGCTTTCTGGAACATTCTAGAACATTGTGGGACTAGTCATAAAAGACAAAAATCATCCAACCCATACAAAAATTTGCCATGGTTTTAATATAGTAAAAGTGTAGTAACCATGTTTTGTTATAACCACAGTTTTACTACAAATACCATGGTTAAATAATGGTTAAGCCCTGTTCACACCAAGAACGATAACTATAAAGATAACGATATTAGTGTCCACACCAGCGGACGATATCGTCTGCCGCTTTAAAATCTCGAGCTCAGGACAGCAGGAAGGATTCTGATTGGGTGTCAATGTTTATATCGTTCATCAGATGGAAAAAATCATTCTGGAAGTGATTCCAACGATATTGTTTCTCTGTGCATTTATCGTTATAGCTGTGGTGTGGACTCTGCTATTCTTTAATATGGAGAACGATTTCTTTATCGCTATATTTATAGTTATCGTCCTTGGTGTGAACGGGCCTTTAGTGTTGCAAAACCGTGGTTAATTTGTGGTTACCATGGTTTTTGGTTTATTTGTAGTAAAATCATGATTAATTTTAGTTAGGGAATGTACACTTCTGAAGTTTTGAATGACTCGGTTTTGGTAACTGCTTATGTCAAACTGTTGTTAGCTCAGTATTATGCATGTACCATGTAATTTGTATGCATGAGTAACAGATTAGCTTGTGTAAGTTGTCAACATATTTTTTTTAGTTTTCATAAGCACTGTTAATGATACACAAAAAGCAATGTGATTTTCGTCTTCAGCATGTCAAACTTCATGAAAATAGCAAAGCAAAACAAAAAATGTATAAAAACCTTTTTTTTCGCTGTGTAATTTGTGAGACTATTGTTAAAAACATTAAAAATCTTACTGTTCAAAAATCTGATTATTCTTATAGATTGAAACAAATGTGCTTCAGCCAGAAAAAAAGAGTATGAAAAGTGCTCAGAGTCGCTGCAGAAAAAAAAAAAATTGAACAACAACAAAAACTGTAAACGTTGCTGGAGACGGGCTTATTTAAAATGAAAACTAATTTTGCCAGCAGGAGGCGCTTTTAGAGTGATAAAACTAGCGCTTTCCCCAGTAATGGCTGTAATCAAAGCAGCTCCGCTCATGAATGCTACTTTATCAGCTCAAATGAAAATGCCATCAAAACTTTTCTGAAGACAGTCAATTCCCTTCAGAGATACATTCATATAAAACACCCACGGCGTGTTATGATTTTGAAACGTGCAGTGCTCATGTTTATTCAACGAAGTCAAACGGGCACAAATAAATCAATGTATGGGAAACTGGTAATGTATATCGAAATATCGGAAATGTGTTTAAAAATCATATCACCATTATTGAAAAAAATTATATTGCGATACATATTGATATTTAATTATTGTCCAGCCCTACCTTGACCCCAGCCTTAGTCCATTCCTTGTGAAGTTCACTCAAATTCTTGAATCGATTTTGCTTGACAATCCTCATAAGGCTGCGGTTCTCTCGGTTGGTTGTGCATCTTTTTCTTCCACACTTTTTCCTTCCACTCAACTTTCTGTTAACATGCTTGGATACAGCACTCTGTGAACAGCCAGCTTCTTTGGCAATGAATGTTTATGGCTTACCCTCCTTGTGAAGGGTGTCAATGATAGTCTTCTGGACAACTGTCAGATCAGCAGTCTACCCCATGATTGTGTAGCCTAGTGAACCAAACTGAGAAACCATTTTGAAGGCTCAGGAAACCTTTGCAGGTGTTTTGAGTTAATTAGCTGATTGGCATGTCACCATATTCTAATTGGTTGAGATAGTGAATTGGTGGGTTTTTGTTAAATGTGAGCCAAAATCACACACACTACTTAAACTACTTCAGTCTGTGTGCATTGAATTTATTTAATACACGAGTTTCACAATTTGAGTTGAATTACTGAAATAAATGAACTTTTCCACGACATTCTAATTTATTGAGATGCACCTGTAGTATGAGTATAGAGCTGTTTGGTCTTGGAAGAGTTTGAGTTCATATTGAGAACTCTGACTTTTGATTGCCGACTTTGCAAATTTGACCACAGTTTAAGACAAAGTTGAGATCTCTTGTAAATTCTGCAGCCGACACGTGTCTTTTTCACAGAAGACAAGATTCCAAAAGTCTCCTCTTGGTCTCAATTTAATCTCTTTGCTTTCTAGGACAAATAAGAGATCTCATTGTCTGCCTAACAGTATTGGTTTCTTTCAGGTCTTCCATCTGTGGGAGCGCTTACCCTACAGAGTCCTGCTTTAATCTGTACTGAGAGCTCTTTGCCGGGACCGTCAGCTTGTGAGGAGCCCACGCCGCACAACAGACAGGAGAATGTAGCTGGGTCAGTGTTTACATTCCTTCACTTCTTACAGGACAAGGCTTGTGTGTGTTTATGTAAAATCCTCACACAAAGATGATCCAGCGTGAGGTGAGACTGTGCAGGAGCACCAGAGTTTATACTGTCACCCACCGTGGCCCCAATAAATTACTTTGACTTCCAACTGATACGTGTAAACCCTTTTAGCGTGGACCAATAACCCAAAGGACACATTCTTCTTAGGTAATGCAATAGAGAAACATGTATTTTTCCACTATTAGTTTGCTACACTAAATGTCTAGGGACCAAAATATCGTAGAGACCTCGACTGAGCCCTTTTGACTTGGATATACTTGGAACTACTTGGGGTGCTTTCACACCTGTAGATCAGTGCTTTGTTCCGAAACTTTGGTCAAAGTTCCACGGTTTATTTCCACTTAGCTGTCACGGCTGTCGTCCATCAGGATGGAATGACAACAGCTTCGTGGGCTTATTGTTGGATTTTTTTTGTAGCTGTAGATATATTCATTTATCATTTTGAGCAGGAGTCCATGATTCATCGGGAAAACATTTTTTTAAATGCACCTACTACGAAGAAGAGCAATAAAACGACATTATAAAATGAAAAAGTGCGCTTTGATTTTGATTGGCGAATACGTGCTCACCCACAGACATTCACAGGTTCTTTTTGAGGTATTAGCAAAACAACAAAGCTAATGCTTTTCACAGAACTTATGTAGTTACCCATCATACATTGTGATATAGCCTGGTTCGTTGGTCCTTTGGATCGGATTGCTTTCTCTCTACAACCGAACCGCTCCAGAGTTCGTTTTCAATCGAGCCGAGACCACCTCGTTCAGGCGATCTCGGACCGATTGTTTTGACTGATTGCGGATCCGAGCACGATTGCCATGTTCACATATGCCCAAATGAACCGAGCTAAGGGGGGAAATGCACCAGGTTCCGAAACAACGGGCCAGGTGTGAAAGCACCCTTAGAAACTACCCAGAGTGCTGTATGCCATTTTACAAAATCTTGATTGGTTTTTTGGGTTATACGAGAAAATCTTTTCATGCTTGATTGTTCTGAAAACACATTATTTTTCACATTTTACATTATTGCAGTATCTCTCTTCCCAGTCTGTCTCAAATGACCCGTTTAGTTCCTGTTTCGATGATACAAAATGTGCTCTGATTGGTTAGCTGGCCCAGTATGTTGTGATTGGTGAACCGCTTTGAGTGTGTTCCAGAAATAACACGCCCCTTACCGTAACTAGTTTCATCTGCTCAGCTGTAAATATTAACAATGTTGTAAATTTTGCCAAATCAGTCTCAGAAAAAATGGTACAATAGCTGTTACTGGGCCCAGCACCTTTTCAAAAGGTACTAATATGTACCATTTATGTACTAATATGGACAGTTGAGGTACTAATATGTACCTTTAAGGTACCAATATGCACCCAATATGCATACATTTTGAAAGGGTAGTGCCCCAGTGACAGCTTTTGTACCTTTATTTCTGAGGGTGTACTAGTTCAAGCCCGATTCAGACCCTGAGAATGTTTATGAACAAGAGGATCATGCAGAACTTTTGCAAACACTGATTTTACAGGATGTTTTAGATTGGGTTTTTTGTGTGCGTGTAATTTTCGTATACATTTTAGATACAATGTTATACGCCATTTAAAAGTAACTGCCGTTACTGTATATAGCAAAAGGGTTAGTACAACATGATCCTGGATCAACATCCCATTCAACCAATCAAAATTAAGGAATACATTTACAGGAAATGTTTTAGACTTACAACAAGGGTTAGGTGCTTCTGCACCCCTGTTATTCAGCTAACATTTCCCTCTGATTTTTGGGATAAATTATAGGTAGGGTTAGGTGTAGGGGTAGGGATAGTGTTAGGTCTGTGTTTTTGGACAGTAATGTTGTTCCAGGATCAACAAAAGATGTTGATCCAGGAACATGTCTGATTTGGCCAAATCACGGCGACCATGGGAAAAGCATCTCTTCGCATGACAACAACACGCTACTACAGCAGCTCTTCTTTGTCTTCTCTAGTGCAGCTCAACCAGTCCTCGCCCACTTGTTTTGCGTATTCTGTCGGTGGGAATTATTTAAATGAGTGACTTTATAACGCCACAATATCTGGAAGGAGTGTGTTGTAGTCCGCTGTAGCCGTTTGTTGTCGTTTATGAAAAGTTTTTTCTGATAAAGAGAATATCTCCATTTAGAGTGGAGTTTGAGCTTTGTAACCTTGCAGATCTTTATTTTGTTGTTGTTGTTCTCAAATAGCAACACCACACACTACCTAAACTTGAAAAGTGAAAAAACTTAATAGGACCCTTTTAATAACTACTAAGCAACCACTGGAACACCTCAATACACATTTTCAGACCCTGAATCTCTTTAACTACAGAGCAACCACCAGGACACCCTAGTAACCACCTACTACTCACCCAAGAATCTTAGCAACCATCCAGATATCATAATATGCACCTAATTAAAAGGATTCTAGTTAAAGGGATACTCCACCCAAAAATGAAAATTCCACTCCACCCTCAAGTTGTTTCAAACTTGCATGAGTTTCTTTCTTCTGTTGAACTTAAAATAAGATATTTTGAAGAATGTTGGATACCAAACAGCTCCTGATCTCCACTTACCTCCACAGTATGGAAAAAAGTACTGTGGAAGTCAGTGAGCCCGGTTTCATTGTGCCAAGTTTGGCATGGGCAAATACCACTCCCATTTTCTTTCATAAAATTTAAAAATCTGGTTGTATTTGAATTAATATGCAGTATATTGGTATGCTACATTGTTCTAGATTGTGCATAGGTTATGGAAAGTAAGTGAGTTGTTTTGATCTTTGTTTTCCTTTAGGTTAGACCGGCCAGCAAGCAATGACATCTTCCTCTCAGAGTCAGAGGCTATTAGGAACACCTTAGCTGTAAAGGAGGAAACGTGCAGGAGTCTAAATAAAGTAGAGACTGGATGTGCAGGAACTGAGCTACAAAACAGTAGAAGACAAATAGAGAGTTCTGGGAAGTGCCAAAAATCAGAACATAGCAGCAGGACAGAGGCCTTAAAACTTCTGAACCAAGGGCAGCCTTCCAAGTCAGCGGACGTCTGGGATAATCAAGGATTCAATTCATCAGGGGAGACCCAAGTAGAGGAGACTGGGAGTTGTCAAGAGGGAAGAGGAGATTTAGAATGCACTGGGAGGAGTCAAGCGGAATCCAAAAGCAGTGGACAGAGTCAAGCAAGGACAGGGAACAGTGAGACTCAAGAGGAACGCAAAACAAGTGACTCAGAAACATCAAAGAATCCAAGTGTCCAAGGTGAAGATCTAACTGACACTCCAGGGGTGAGTTACATCCATTATCAAACAGTTTGTTGAACCATATCATTTCATTTGGTACGATTCACTGTCCGCAATGAGCCATGCACCTTGGATATATGTATTGATAAAAACACATTGTTTATTGAGAATTCCTTCATTTAATTCTCTGTACGCCTCTGGAATCAATTGCCTTTAAAAAAAAAAAACTCAGTAATACTCCATCCTTCTTTTTAACCTGGACTCGAGAATGTTTTTCCCATTTAAGGTATGCATCCTTCCCAGTGTTTTGGTTCTAATATAACCCCATTTGAGGGAGGGGTGTTGAGTATTTTTGTATCATCTAGGATGGGGTAGGCAGTTCTGTTCTTGCAGGGCCACCTTCCTGCAGAGTTTAGCTGCAACCTATTTAGGCGTAGCTGAACCAGCCAATCAAAGTCCTCAGGATGAATAAAAACCTCCAAGTAGGTGTATTAGGATGGGTTGAAGCTAAATTCTGCAGGATGTTGGCCCTTCAGGACCATGATTAGACAGCCCTGAGGTAGGAAGAAGAATAGCACATCTCAAACTGGCTTGTGCTTCCATTGATGCCATTTTAAGCATTTAATGATGCTTGTTTGGGCAAAATCAGTTTTACTAATACTTTTATGTGTTAAAATAAAATGCATAACATCCCATTTGTGCTACAGACATGATTGATGCCTCAAAATGTGCACCTGGCTGAAGTGAGGTACTCTGAGGAAACGTGGAAAAAATTTGAAAAGCAAGGCATCCTAAACCATTTTTAATCAAAATGAATGTTGATTAATAGAATACATATAAAAATATTTTTGTGTTTTGTCGCTGCGATTTGGGGAAACGGCTCGTCATATATTCTGGCTGTGGCTTTACAAACAAACATGTCCATGACATTAAATCTAGTCTAGCGCAAAGTATGCAAAAACTCCTGCTATAATCACTGAAGCTACGAAGTGAATCTTTTTATTTACATTGTTTTTGCACTATGTTTTTTATTATGAGTGCAACGAATTCAATCAGTGAGCGCGCACACACTCAACAACAACTCCGGAGTTTTCAGCATTTACTCTGATTGGCCATCGCATTCCTAAGCTCAGCGGAAACACGTTTGATTGGTCATAAGGTTCAATGCTGCAAAAAAACAATGCGTAAAAAGTAATCTGATACAGTGTGTGAGCGAATCAAAATGTAATTTCGTGAACAGATACTTTGCATTCATTTTCACATTCATTTTCAGTTGTGACAGCTGTAATCGATTGTTTAAATGTGCAGGGGCACAAATGTTTTGCCCCCTTTTTGGCCCTAAATTTTGCCTCTTTAACTTGAATTTGTGGGGCATTTTTGTTAATCTTGGTAGCATTTTTGCCACAAGCCCCCGTTAATTTCTGACCCTGGTTGTAACTAAACTACAGGTCAGTGGCCTTCCAGGATCAGGATTGGACACTTCTGAGAGAAGAAAATATCAGCTGACCAATAGCTTCGCATAGCATCCCAAACATATGGAACTGTTGCCGATTGCTTGCAAACTCAAGGTTCATGATAACCTTTTGTGTGTGAGCTCCAAGTTGCAACAAAATCATAAAAGCAGTTTATTATATTGAACAATTGAATCTTTTACTATCCGGAAATTATGGTTCTGTTCTCTTGAACCCATTGAATGGGAAGGCTATTTTATCTGCAAATAGCTTTGCAAAATTTCTATGGTTCACATAAATAAAATTCACAGCTTTAGAGGAAACCTGTCCATTTGGGACTTGAGGGTAGGATCTTTTGACTGAATACCCTACCAACCACCCAGAACAAATTAGCAACCACAAAACAACTTGCTCAGAACCACATAGTAACACCCTGGCAACATCCACACACCCTAGCATTGTGGTAGCACTCACATTTTCTTTTGAAAACGTAAAAACCTATTTAGTGATGCAGCTGTAAATCCAGTGACATTTCCAGACAATATTTCATTAGTCATTTAGTCGATTCTTACGTTTTAGAGGTGTGTGGGATGAGTGATGCAGGGTTTATTTGTGCTTGTTACTAGTGAGGAGTCGGTTTTCTTCTGTACAATCATGGTCCAGTTTTATAATGACTCAAATGTGAATTCACTGCTGTGTAAACACTCTTGAGTTTCTCTTCCCTTATAAGACATTCACTAAAATAGGATTTGTCTCTGAAATTGTCTCTTATTTTGTTTGGGTGTACAGGAAGCCAAAGATAGCCTTTGTAGCATTCAGATGAGATTTAATGGAAATTGAAATGAAGGATTCTACTTTCTCCTCGATCTGTATCTTGAGACCAAGCCGTGTTTATACCACAACTCGACAGACAGATGGTTTTACACAAGTGAAACAGCCCCATTATGATTTGCTGCATTAATGACTCATGCATATTTTTAGACATTTGTTTATGATAGAGAGGTAATATAAATAGGCAAATGCTCCACTCTCATTGGCTGTTGATGTTGGTCCCATATTTATTCTGCAAATAAGAGGTTTTCTTCTCCTGATGATGACACTTTCAGATGTTGCTTTTGTTGACAGTGCTCATCACTGTAGCGGTATTTTTATATACGAGATGCCATAAGTAACTTATTTTGCTGTAGGGAAACATTTCCTCTTGAACCTCTCTTAGAGGCAGGAACATGAAGATGGGGTTTTGTGATAGGACAAATGCCAGTGGGGGGAAACATGCATATATTTTGCCAAGCAAATGTCACACTGTGGTTAAGAGGTTCCTATTCCTATACATCCCTATATATATTGTTTGCTTGCTTCTATTATCCTCATTTGTAAGTTGCTTTGGATAAAAGCATCTGCTAAATGATTAAATGTAATTTTGTAAATTCATAAGTTGAAATAATGCAAAGAATAGGCTTCAACTAAAGTATAAGTCATCGAACAACATCCTGGAAACTCACAACATGTCTGTCTTTAAGGTTTGTTATCATTATCATTTCCCTATGAAGATTTGATAATTTTACATGACATTTCCAGGTCTTGAAAACACTTTTTAAATTGGGCTACCTCATATATCCAGGGTTTTCTAGACAGTGGGAATCCTAGTTCTTTAGAGAAAATAAAACGGTTGTTAAGGGGGTAAATTAAAATAAGTTATCTTGATTTTATGTTGTTTGGACTTATTTCAATGCTTGTTTTGTTATATTTTAAACAATTTTAAGTAATCTTGAAGCCTTCTTGGAAGCAGGGCTTGAAAACAAAAAAATAATAAAATCGGTACACTCCAAGCAGAATCGATATTTTAATGTTTTTGTTCCTGCATCTTGATTTTATGTTGTTTGGACTTATTTCAATGCTTGTTTTGTTATATTTTAAACAATTTTAAGTAATCTTGAAGCCTTCTTGGAAGCAGGACTTGAAAACAAAAAAATAATAAAATCGGTACACTCCAAGCAGAATCGATATTTTAATGTTTTTGTTCCTGCATTCCTCTGTATTATTATCATTCCGAAACCGGTTTGCCTAGAAAAAATACTTCACTCGCATCAACATCATCCTTCACATCGGCTATAATAGCACAGTGAGGCGGTGGTCACGCTGAACGCAACAGATTGTACAACGGAGCAGTGCAACTTTTTATGTTTCTTTAACTGTATTTTATTTTGATAATGAACAGGCTGCAATGTCGCAAAATATGTTGTGTCTGCGTACACGTGATCTGTTGAATCCATCTTACACTATCCTCGGATAAACTCTAATGCATTGCCATTGCGACTTACCTATGATGAATTTACAGCTGAATGCGGGGGGCATTTCATTGGCTGGGTGCGTCAGCTTCACATTTGCATAGACCGTACTAATTGAATTCTTGATTGGTTGACAGCAAATTTCAAATATTAAATGGAACGATAAAATAACGTTATTAACCGGTTAATGGCCATTTCAAATTTTCGATTCTGTTAGGAACTATCAAATTTGATTTCGTTTCTGTTTCTGGTTCTGTTGCTGTCAAAATTTCGTTCGTTTCCAGTTTTCGTTTTCGTTCCTTGAACCGGTTCAGAGCCCTGCTTGGAAATTTTTCAGCCCCTCTGTTTGAGAACCACTGATCTAGTGAGAAGCGTGAGCAAAATGCTAAAATGTGTATAATGCAATTTAAACACAGCAACTTGAGTTGAACGCTTATTTGACATATTTCTTATTCAATTATCACATCAAAAATTCTACAGAAATAGGTTATTTTCCATTAAAAATTCTGATGAAGCTGAATCACTATCAGAAGGGTTAAATATCATCCATTTAATCGGTCTTTCACTATTCTCGTTGTATTCATTACAGTGCCTTAGAATTCAGTAACACGTAAGAATATGGTAATTGTACAGTACCATGATATTTCCTTCAGTGTACCATGGCACTAGTGAAGACTGTACTGTTCTGTGACTGCATAAGCTTGTTTCCTCATACATGTATGTGTTGTGTTGTGTCTGTACAGGACCAAGAGGACCCCTCTGCTGTATGTCAGTTCACACGCTCACGGGGTGAGCAAACTTCACTAAAGAGAGCTCATAGCTTTGTGACAAAGTCTGTCACTCCTTTTATCTTTTTAAAAATTCTGATGAAGCTGAATCACTATCAGAAGGGTTAAATATCATCCATTTAATCGGTCTTTCACTATTCTCGTTGTATTCATTACAGTGCCTTAGAATTCAGTAACACGTAAGAATATGGTAATTGTACAGTACCATGATATTTCCTTCAGTGTACCATGGCACTAGTGAAGACTGTACTGTTCTGTGACTGCATAAGCTTGTTTCCTCATACATGTATGTGTTGCGTTGTGTCTGTACAGGACCAAGAGGACCCCTCTGCTGTATGTCAGTTCACACGCTCACGGGGTGAGCAAACTTCACTAAAGAGAGCTCATAGCTTTGTGACAAAGTCTGTCACTCCTTTTATCTTCCCTCACACACGCTCTCAGCCCCTGCTCATCCCCACCATGCCCACTCTTCCTGAGGAAGAGGAAGATTCCCCAGAGGAGCTCGACAGTACATCCAGTTCGCCCTCCACAGTGAGTCAAACTATCTTTCACATCGCATCAGGCTACATTCACGCTGTCAGTCCAAATCTGAATATTTGTGTATCCATTCCACTCTTTCCTTCTCCGTGTTCTGCGTTGCTTTCTTTGGCAGTGGCGTTGCATTGTTATGCCTATGCCAAAAACACCAACAACAGCAACATAAAGATTCAGTGTACCATGGCACTAGTGAAGACTGTACTGTTCTGTGACTGCATAAGCTTGTTTCCTCATACATGTATGTGTTGCGTTGTGTCTGTACAGGACCAAGAGGACCCCTCTGCTGTATGTCAGTTCACACGCTCACGGGGTGAGCAAACTTCACTAAAGAGAGCTCATAGCTTTGTGACAAAGTCTGTCACTCCTTTTATCTTCCCTCACACACGCTCTCAGCCCCTGCTCATCCCCACCATGCCCACTCTTCCTGAGGAAGAGGAAGATTCCCCAGAGGAGCTCGACAGTACATCCAGTTCGCCCTCCACAGTGAGTCAAACTATCTTTCACATCGCATCAGGCTACATTCACGCTGTCAGTCCAAATCTGAATATTTGTGTATCCATAAATGGAACGATAAAATAGTGTTCTGCGTTGCTTTCTTTGGCAGTGGCGTTGCATTGTTATGCCTATGCCAAAAACACCAACAACAGCAACATAAAGATTTCATACCACAGGATTTCAATAGGATTTGATTCCACATATGAATCATAGCTAGAAATTTATTTGTAAAAATTGTATTTCATGTTTGTTTGTTTTTTTGCTAAATGTCTTATATGCAAAAGAAATGGATTTGGATCAAAAATTTGGATTTGGGCTGAATGAAAATGCATTTTCACTCTCTGACAGTAGGTGGCACTTACGAAAAAGCATAAATGCAGCGGTACACAAGTGAAGTGTGTGCTACTTTCTGACTTCTGCATGCCAAGTAAAAAAAAAGGGAGCAAAAGACTATTTACATGTTTTCAAAGAGCTGTTCAAATTTTTGCATTTACTATGGTGTTTATCAAACAAAACCAAATACAAGATTACACACACAATAGAACCAGTTCTGCTTACAAGATTCAGACTTGTGTCACCCATTTGATTACCTCTATAACTAGTCGGTCTAACAGTCCCACCAGTGGTTGCTATATAACTGACCCAATATGGCTAATCAAACACAGATTGAGTCAATTTAGTGTAACTAGTGGTGCAAAAACGACTCTCTTCACCTTCAAACACGTGCCCGAACATCACATCTGACATATGATCCCTATAAAGATGTTCATTTGAGGAGGAAGAAAGTACATGTAATCTTTTCCTGAAAGACAACATTCCACTCTCAATCAAGATTCAGATATTATCAGTACCCTAATGCCACAGAATGGACATTTGAAATCCTACTAGTTTAATAATGTCACGTTACACAGTTAGGGCCCAATGCCGAAGTTTTTTTTTATTCTTTGCTTAATGGTAGAAGAGTAAAAAGAAGTTTGAAATACATGAGCAGCAATATACACTTTGTGTATATCTGCTGGGAGCGGAATTTAGATGAATATGTAAATATGTTCTGCACACTTTCCTCTCAATAACAAAATGAACACATAACAAAAATGTGAAAACAGTAGTTAAGAAAGCATTTAATCAGTGGATATGTCTGCAGTTTATTTATATTGCACTTTATACAATAGATTGCTTTAAAGTATGCAGCTTTAAAGTGTTATTAAACAGTATTAAACTATTCAGCATGAAAAAACAATGCCAGTGTCGTTTTCAATTTACTTACAATTGATACTATAAAGCAGCTCTGCACTTTGTGTGCAAAGAAGGCGGAGCCATGTCAAAGGAGGCGGAGCTCAGGAGCAAACCTACTGTTACGTAATTGCCATGGACCAAAGGTAGTTTGAAGGTGTTCACCAGCCGGAGCAAATTTTTTCCGAAAGTTCGCTTTGGCGAGTTGTTTTGAACTCCCAGAATGAACTTCGTTTTGGCATGATTTTGTTTGAAATGACGTTACACCAGTTTGTTCTTCGATTTCGCTTGAAGTATATTAGGCTCTTTACGAATGTCTCTCTGTCATGGCCTGTGAGTGAGAAGAGCTATTGCTTCACTGACGACAAGCTTCAGGATTTACTGTTCTGTTTTCCTTTTGGAGACCACAGATCATTTCAACATCAAAGCCTGTCAGGGGTTGTTGTTTCATTATAGCCATTATGTTATTCTTGAGTGAGTACAATCCACTCATGCGGTGACTCTTAAAAGGTTGGGACTCAGATAAGGCCACTCTTTAAAATCATATTACACTTCAGTAATCTAATCCCAGAATAAAGGCCAAACAAATAAAGCTTCCACTTTGTACTGAAGTACTAAACTCAAGAACCTTAGCACGGCGTGATGGTTCTTGTGTATAAAAGTATGACAGAACTTGATGGTATGTGGCATGTTGTAAATCTCTGTCAGAGAGCACTTCCTGATGCTATTTGAATGGGGTTTTTTTTGCTCTTAGAGAATGAAATGAGATGTTACAGAACTTGATGGTATGTGGCATGTTGTAAATCTCTGTCAGAGAGCACTTCCTGATGCTATTTGAATGGGTTTTTTTTGCTCTTAGAGAATGAAATTATAATAGACTGTAACTATGGAGAGTTTTATATAATATGTATATAATTAAAGGGGTCATATGACGTTGCTAAAAAGAACATTATTTTGTGTATTTGGTGTAGTGAAATGTGTTTATGCGGTCTAAGGTTAAAACACACATAATTTTCCATATAATGTACATTATTGTTTCTCCTCTATGCATTCTGAAATGCGTAGATTTTTACAAAGCTCATCGTTCTGAAAAAGCGAGGTGTGCTGTGATTGGCCAGCTATCCAGTGCGTTGTGTTTGGCCCGAATACCTCAAGCGTGTGACGGGAATTTTACGCCCCTTAACATACTGTGATGCCGTCTCCCAGCAGGATGAGACAAAACCAATAAAACCCATTACAAATGAGGCATTTGTTGCATCCAGTGGGGACATAATTACTGATTATAATAACTCATACTGTTTTTTTACGCGTTGCGTTGTGTATCGCGCTGCGTAAACATAAAACCAGAGAATAAAAGTTACGCCTTCTTTCTTTGCGTGAACATTCGGGTGGCGTTATGCAAATCTTCCCACATAGTGATGTAGACATGTGGGGGTGTGTTAGAACGAGCCGTTTTAGGTAGGCGTGGCTGACTCTTAACTTTTATAAAGAATATCTCTTTGGATTTGAGACTTTAGTCTTTGCAACTTTACAGATCTTCTTTATGCACCAAGAGCTTGTAACACTCCAAAGAGAAAGGAAAAATTGAAATTGCATCATATAACCCCTTTAATAAAAAATCAAGTATTTACATAGATCAATTATAAATCAGTAGTTACAGAATTACGCAATAATGAAAAAAAATAAAAACAACAGTGTAATTGGACTATTGCAAAGACTAATATTTTGCTTCCTCTCGTAAAGGGGATGTTATCGCAACATGTTTTCCCCATGGGATAAAGCTAAGGGTTTTGAGCTGGTAAGCCTGGCATGTGTGAAATTGTTTGTGCAGGGGCTAAAAAAGTGGACCTGCTGCACAGTACAGTTTGGAAATTTCCCATACTGCCTCAGGACTGAATGCTGTGGTTGAAAAATCATCACATCTTACTGTTTGCTCTTAATTTATCTTCTTTGCCGCTGCAGTACTCTACAAAAAAAAATCTTAATTAGTCTTGTTTTCTGGTTGAAATATGCACTTAAGTAAGCATAGTCTGCATACAATATTAAGAATCGTTTCAGTTTATATATATATTGAATTAAGATTAAATTTTTGTGTTGGCCTTTTTTCAAGCACAAATCTAGTAGCTAGCTAGATTTATGGCTAAAATAACAAAAAGAAGCAATAAGTTAAAAAGACATTCAAACTATACTGTCTTAATGATGAGATGTGTCAGTATTTACATTTTAAATTAGACAGAAACAATTAAATATTGACTCCTAAAAATATCCAGTGTCGGCCACTACTGAAACTGAATTTAAAAACTGATAACTGTAACCGATATAGTGCTGATATGCCATGCATCCCTGACATCCCCTGTCATATTTTCTGACACAAAAATACATTTTTGCATTGTGCCAAAAATGAAAATTCTGTCATCATTTACTCACCTTCATGTTGTTCCAAACCTGTGAGTTTCTTTCTTCTATTGTACACAAAAGAAGATATTTTGAAGAATGTTGGTAACCTCCATAGCATAGAGAGAATTCTATGGAATTGCTACCAAAAACTGTTTGGTCACCTGTGTTCTTCAAAATTGAAGAAATAGAATTCAATTGAAAAAAATTTAATTATTTTGTGTTTAAAAGTTTGTTTATTATGTGCAAGTTCAAGCTTTTGTGTCACTTTTGCCTTTTTATTCCACATTTCTGTTTGTATCACGTCAGTGAGTTAAAACAGGAACAGGCCGGATCACATTTAGTTTAATGGGTACATTCCCCAATTCTTCTTGAATATGCCGAATGTGAATATTTAGCAAAATATTTTGAACTCTTCAAAGTAAAAGTGTCAGTTTAAAAAATTTAAAACCCTCAGCCTCACTGCTCTCCAAGAATGTGACCTTTTTTTTGTAGTATGCTCCAGTTGAAAGCAAGAGGGTGAATGTAACCATGACTCCACCAGCTATTGTGCTTCCAAGACAAGTCAGCAAGCAAGAGCCCTGTCCTCTGGAGAAAGCAAGGTATTCATGTCAAGAGCCATTAAAAGATTACCAAAAATCTTTATTGTCCAATCGTTAAACAGCAGTTTTAGTAATTCAGACAGTGTAAAATCTCATAAAGAGTCACTGTTTGTACTTTAGCTGAATATAAACCTGCTCGGTTTTGTTTAGAATGTGTTGGTTTAATGTTGGTTTAATGTTTTGTTTTAATCTGTGTCAAACCACACAGCCCTAGGCCTCGTCTCTCCCGAAACTCTGCATCTTCATGTCCCATCACCGCAGTGGGTACGTTCAACTAC